AAGCCCTGATTCTTGAATGTTTGCTCATATCTAGGTGGAAAATTGCTATAGGTGGGCGCTTTTTCTGAAAATAATATTATATATAAGAATAGATTTTTCTTATTAGCTAGTAGTCAAGTCAATTAGTGTTGGGCTTTAAGTAAATGCACTTGGATAACCATATTCTGTTCCACTTGGTCTCTAGGTTCTGCAAGTTGAGTCAGTAATATCAAAGATTCGGAATTCTAGCCTGGATGTATTCCAGTTCTTGAAGTCTTCCCATCAGCATCTGCCTGATGAATTGCGTTCAGAATCCGTTGAGGTAATTTATAACCCAAATTACTTGAGGTTTTATACTTTTATTTGAAGTTGTACTCTTCATGTTGTGTTGAAGTTTTATAAATACAGCATAATTATTGTATTCTCACAATTATTACCATATACCAAAAAAGCCATCTATTGGAGAGTGAATGTCATGTAAGTACACAGTTTTGAGATGTAAGAAAATATTTAGCTTTCATTTTGATTTGATTTCTTAGTTCAAAAAATGCTAAAGGACAATCCACATTTCAGGATGTTTTAACTATTGGCAATTGATTGCAGGAATGTGTACAGAAAATTAAGCATGTAGCATATGAGCAAGCATCATCTGTCATCAGGGAAGCCATACTGGATCAAGTGGATAGTGTTGGACCATCCTCGGACATGATAGTGAAAATTGCAGAGAACTTGAGCTTGAGGTCAAACCAGGAGATTCTGATAGAAGCTGTAGCCCTTGAAAAGTTGAAGGAGAATGCAGAACAAGCTGAAAATACTGCAGAAGCTGAGTTTATTGATAAAATAATTGTTCTTGTAACTCGCATGCATGATCGTTTTGTATTAATGAAACAATCTGCAACCAGTAGCCCGGTCCCAATACCTGCTGATTTCTGCTGCCCCCTTTCCCTAGAGCTAATGACTGATCCAGTGATTGTGGCATCTGGACAAACCTATGAACGGGCTTTCATTAAGAACTGGATTGGTCTTGGGCTCACTGTCTGCCCCAAGACACGGCAAACTTTGACTCATACCAATCTTATTCCTAATTATACAGTAAAGGCACTAATTGCAAACTGGTGTGAGTCAAACAATGTGAAGTTGCCTAATCGCATGAAGTCCATCAGTGTAAACCAGTCCTATCCACTTCTTGTGGCTGCAGAGTCTGGCTTGCCAAGGGATTCAAATAGTTTTGCTCCTAGAAGCAGCCAACCATTTTCACCTGAGTTATGGTCTAGAGGTCAAGCTGGTAAGAACCTAGTCACATCCAGTGGAATTCATCAGGAGGGAACCTCCCCACTGCATCCTCGTTCTGCCTCGGAGGGTTCCATGCCAGGTATAGCTGGAAATGGAGAGGGTCTGGATGTTGCAAGAACATCACCAAATAGTTCTGTAGACAGTTCAGAGTTGGAAAAAAGGTATAACAATTTCGTTGGAGAACCACCTGTGTCAGCTTCTAACAATGCAGGACAGTCATCTCAGAACCATACAAGATCTGTTTCAGCTTCTAGTGCACTTTCTAATTCAGATTCTCCTCGAGGAGCAGTTGGAGAGACCAATGAGACTTCTGAAACTCATCTCACAGCCTACAATAGTGATGTTTCTGGGGAGGTTAAATCTGACCCACAGCCTACAGTCAGCTCAGTCGTCCCACAGAGAGAACTTGAGTTTCCTCCTCGATTGGTAGAAGCACGATCTCGAAGCCAAACAATCTGGCATAGGCCATCAGAGAGGTTCATTCCAAGGATAGTTTCTTCATCTGGTGTTGAGAACAGGGCTGACCTTTCTGTCATTGAATCCCAGGTTAAGAAGTTGGTAGAGGACTTGAAGAGCACTTCAGTTGATAATCAAAGAGAGGCCACAACTCAACTCAGGTTACTTGCTAAACACAATATGGATAATCGGATTATAATATCAAACTTTGGGGCCATTACCTTGCTAGTTGATTTGCTTCGTTCACCGGATACAAAGATTCAGGAAAATGCTGTTACAGCACTTCTTAACTTATCAATTAATGATAACAACAAAACAGCTATTGCTGATGCCAATGCAATTGAGCCTCTGATTCATGTCCTTGAGACAGGAAGCCCTGAAGCCAAAGAAAACTCAGCTGCTACTCTCTTTAGCCTTTCGGTCATTGAGGATAACAAAGTCAAGATTGGAAGGTCTGGGGCAATCGAGCCTCTTGTTGATTTATTGGGGAATGGTACTCCTAGGGGAAAGAAAGATGCAGCTACCGCCTTGTTTAATCTGTCAATATTTCATGAAAACAAGGCCCGAATTGTGCAAGCCGGTGCTGTAAGACACCTTGTAGACTTGATGGACCCAGCAGCTGGAATGGTTGATAAGGCAGTTGCTGTTTTGGCTAATCTTGCTACAATTCCTGAAGGGAGGAATGCTATTGGGCAGGAGGGTGGGATTCCTGTGCTGGTCGAGGTGGTTGAGTTGGGTTCGGTGAGAGGGAAGGAAAATGCTGCTGCTGCTCTTTTACAACTCTGCACAACTAGTGGTAGGTTTTGCAGTATGGTGCTCCAAGAAGGAGCTGTTCCTCCACTAGTGGCCTTGTCCCAGTCCGGCACCCCAAGAGCTAGAGAGAAGGTATACTCTTGTCATTTCTGATAAAGCCATCTTTCTTTTACCTTTCTTGAAAGTTATCATAAGCTGCTGTTGGTTGCAGGCACAGGCACTTCTGACCTACTTCAGAAGCCAACGACATGGTGGTGCTGGGAGAGGCTGAAAGTAGGAAAACAGCATTCACGGCATTGGATCTAATATACAGGTTGCATACATTTGATGTTCCAAATATTGCATTTGGAAGGTTTGCTCCTTGGATTTACATTTTACAGGGTTTGTGTAGGAAATAAAAAAATTTAGTTTGTAGAGGATTTGATGGAGTCCTCTTGTGAAATGCTTCTTTTTTATATGTGCATTTGTGATTGTAAGAAGGGAATTTCATGAATGTCAGTCTCTGTCTGGTCTTCACAACGAGCATGGGGGGGGGGGGTAACAATACGAATGGACGAATAATGTCCTGGTTTATGCCCCATGGCTATTTATTTTTTTCGACTCCACTGTTTTTCAGCTTAAACTAGATATTCAGATTGATTCATAAGTCATGCATTTGCAGGCAGCCAACCAAGAAGCAGTCATTTTATGCCTCTCTGGAGTTCCATTTTGTTTGACGTATATGTTTCGAAAGTTATTTGACTGTGCAATATTTCAATGATCAATTTGACAAACAGCGTTAATTAATGTTCTTTAAGCAGTCTGAATTTTGTTTCCTTATTGTTTCATTTTGATTTCAGTTCAGATTCTTTAAAGCTTTTAAAATAGGTTTCATGTAATATTATCAAGTTTTCTTTCAATAATTTAGATTTTTTTTTTTATAATTTGAGAATGAAAAACGAATCCTCCAATCTTTATAATTTCCTCCAGGTTTCATGTAATATTATCAAGTTTTTATAATTTGAGAATGAAATGAAAAAGAGGGTGAGTATAAAGCCGGTGGGGTATTTTCCCCCAATGTAACAAACCAATAGGACGTGGCCACATCAGACGAGGAGATCGGGATGATGTTTTTCTAGGGGTCACCGGAAAGAAGTGAGGACTGAGGACCATTCAGTAATGCAATTAAAAATTATTTTTGGATTGAAGTTAACTTTGGAGTAATAAATAATGTTAAAAAATGGAGTATAACTTTCTAAAAATCTGTGTGAAAAATAAATTTCAATCCAAATATAAAAATTACAAACTTCATCATAAGATAAATATGAAAGGAATACGAATTTGCATTAATTAGAAATAATTTCTTGAAGTACATTAACAGATAGATTTCGAAAACTCATAAATAAAGGAAAATGAGATCAATTAGGACGATGACCATTTGGCTAATGCATGAGAGTCGAATGTATCGCACATCAACGAGGTGAACAACTTATTCAGAAGTTGTCACGCCTCAAGAAAAAACACACCACACCACAGAAATATCTATGTGACAATTAAGCGCTTATCAAACCAAATTAGAGGAATCACTCGCAATTGTCACATGTGGAAGTTGCAGATCAATTGTGAGTAGGATGCTAGCTGTGATTGCATTCGCCTCAACAATGGCAAGGTCACCGTGATCAAACGCAACATGTGCGTGACCAGCAAGAGCGAACCTAGTTGAATCTCGTGCGATTGCACTAATAATATTAAAAACTTTTATCCTTTTTAGTAGATTTAATTTATTATTATTTTCTATAGTTTTTTTTATATCAAATTAGCCCTCAAAATTGCTTAGGGATGTCATCTTAGCCCTCAAAGTCTAATTTGACTAATAAAACCGTTAGTATTCTACGTTGTTCGATACCAACAATCTACATGTCAACCAATATTACTGAAGTTACTTGATAATGACATGATATTCATAAAAAATTAATAATAAAATATTTACTAAATACAACAATTAGAAAAAATTCTAAAATTTTTATCTAATTTTTTAACCTCACTGAAATAAATAATAAAATTTTCAGAATTTTTTCATTGTAGTGTTTAGTAATTATTTTATCATAATCCTTTCACCCATGTACATAGAAGACTCACAATTCTTATAGTCAAAACGGTTGATGGACATCAAAGGCTAGGATGATGCCCTTAAATAACTTCGAAGACTAGAATGATACCATTAAATAACTTCGAGGGCTAGGATGATACAAAAAAACCGTAGAGACAAAAATGATAAATTGGATATATTACATGAGCAAAAATAACCCTTAAGTCAATATTAAATAATTAAATCATAAACTTTAACTTTTTAAAAATATTTTTTTCAATATAATTTTGAAAAGTAATGTTAAACTGTTCATAAGTTTGCATGTAAAAGTTGTCAACGTGATGTGTATAATCCTTGGAATTTTAAACTGGTTATAAGTTCACATGTTATAAACTTTATATACAGTAAAATCATGAATGGTCATGATGTTTGTGGATTTGTTTCTTTAAACTTTCTAAAAAGCATGAATAATTGCAGAAAATTTTGGCATTTACATGTTCTTTAGCTACAATGTTCAAAGCAAATTGACCATATAAAAATTCCAAGAACAACAAGTTCTCCATTCCCAGAATTCAACCAAGCCAACTACTTCATTAGATCTTCCCATTTGCAGTACTGCCCACCCGCTAACGCACGATAAAATCTATCCCTGCAGTACACTGGTCTTCCATCAGCAGCCTCTGCCGCTGCCGCTGCTAGATCGTCATCATCCTTAACCTCTATCGGCAGGCTAAGCAATTCTTCTTTCCTACAATACATATACATGGAAAGTGGTGTTGTAACATACCATGACAGTTTTAGAACTTAAGTTGAATCTTCATGTGTGACATCCATATACATACCTTAGATTGAACTTTGTGTTGGTTTTCAAAGCAAGAACACTTGATGATACATCCTTTGTGACAAATGCTGTTTTAAAGAAATCCTCCACCGGTGTAGCGAAGATAAATAGAAACACCGAGGTAACGAGTAAGGCCCCTGTTCCGACTAGTGTCTGTTTCAACAACTTGATAACTGGTTTAACCTGGAGGCCATCATGCATTTTCTCATGTCAAGCTTCCATGGCCTTGTTTTCATTCATAAAAATATGAATATGATATATATACTACCTTATAAGAGCCCAGCAACCGGTCACGAGCCAGGACCTGGAAAATGAAAAGGGATTTAAGATAGCATTAGTGGATAAAATTGTATCTGCGAAAGCTTTTGACGGTGTAATCTTAAAGTGTATGTTGAAAGAATTTTCTTTCTTTAGAAACCAAGAGCCGCCATTGACTTATGTACTAACCTCGGGTGGTTTTACCCACATTTGACCATCATACCAGCCAGTCTCTTCATATGGTATTACCGCTGATAGAAGCCTATCGCCAACATAACTCCATCCCTGCAACATGCTGAATAATACATCATTCATGTTTTCAAGATCACCGAAACTGATACCCGGAGGAGCTTTGTGGTTATGTGAGTTAAGTCGATTGTTTCGTTGTGTCATTTCCAAGAAGTTTTGTGGTGTTAAGATTGATGAAACTATCCGTATAGATTTTTAGTTAAATGGAATCGTGCTTTGGTTGTTTAAGCTAATTGACATATTAAATGTTTTTTAGATATGCATGGCACACACAATAATTCCCTGGAATGATTAACAAATGGTCATGGCTGAATCATTCTTAAGCACAACAGAAACAAAGAAGGTTAAAACTTAAAGAAGGCGATCATACCAGATAAATTCTTAATACAATCAGTGACACCAGGAAGAGAGTTCCTGTTCCAGCAGCAAGCACAAATCTTAAAGGTTCCTGCAAGGTGTGAATCAGAAAAGGGTCCGAATAAAATAAACAGTAATATTTTTGGACTTACCCTCGAAGGATTGAAGCTTGCAGCTGCTATTGGGGCTCCAAGAACCGTGAAAGTTACTAGCCACAGCCCTCCCAGACGAAGGAAAAATTGGCCTGGTCCCAGCTCTCCCCATGAATACAGAGGACCGTCTTTCAGAGACGAGTACTCATTCACCTATTTTCACCAAACAGATGATTGCATGTTCATATAAGAAATGCAATTTTGAAGAGTATATTAAGTTTGTGAACATACCGGCCTTTGCTCAAAAGGGACTTCGATCTCTAAGCCAGGTTCCCAGCTCCGGCCTTCAAAGCCACCGCTCATACCACCGTCCATCTCATCTTTTAAGGCCCTGACTGGAACCCCACGAGGCAGCTTCGGCCCTCCGTTGAACTTAGCTAAGGCAGAACCATAAATACTCCCAAGCTTAACATGCGCCGGAGTAGGAATATTTAGAGAACAATGAACATTTAATCTAAGCATCTATCTATCTATCTTTCTCAACCGAGTTCGATCCAGGGAGGCGAAGAGAAGAGCTCGCTCCAATAGATAATTGAGTTCATTTAAACAACTTTTAGTTCTACATAATTTGCGTGGAGCAGATGCAACCAGAGAATTACTTTGTTTTTTTTATGTTGTTTCTTTGATGGATTCTGAACAATAGGACCTATCTGAGAGTTACGTGGATGAAATCGGTAAATCGCCATTAAAAGTTCCAATATTTTTTGTGGCTGGAGACGTGAGAGTTGGGAAGGGTTGCTTCATACAACAAAACTGTGGCAGAAATTGACTTGCACGATGATCTTTCGTATATAGCTCGTGCCTCCACGAGCTAGAGTGTATTAAAATTGAGGCCATAGATCGAGAGGATGGCTTGGGCCCTTTCAAGAAAGAATAACTTTGGGTTGGGTTTTGCTCGAGCTGTAGCTTCGGCTCAGTCAGTTGAATTCTGGCATCAACACTCGTTCAAATCCAAATTGAATTTTCTGAAGTGGCTCAATGGAGAAATTATTTAATGGACATGTCATGCATGGTCCTAATCCATTAATACAACTCACATCAATATTTATTTACATATAAAATATCAATTAATTAAAACACTATATCTAAATAATCCGTCAAATTTACCAACATTCATATACTAGTAAAAGTGAAAATATTTCTATTTGAGTATTTTATCTTGATATAATTTTTACTATGATTTTTCTAAGCAATACTAGTAAAAGTCAAGTCTGTTCATGGCGGTTTCCATGAAGAAGCAATATCGAGATCTCGCAAAACTTGGGTAGCCTTATGAATTTAAGTCAATTCCTTCTTCAAGTGCACTGCTCTAACATTTCATTATTTTTTACTTTTTGGAGCCTCGAATCAGTTAAAAACATGTATCCAAAACAAAGCAAATAGAAAAAGGAAATTTTTAGAGAAATATTTATTACAAAGACGAGACACTGAAAAAGAAAAATACATGAATATTGGTAAATTTAACACATTACTTTTAGTTAGTGTTTTAATTAATTGATATTATGTGTAAATGACATGAAAATAAATATTGATGTGGATTGTTTTAATTACTTGGGACCATTAATAACATGATAGCAAAGGTTCACGAAATAATTTTTCGACTCATTGGTAATAGAGACAAATAACTACATTTACGTGGTGTTTGTGCATATTATCTTGTAATACTTTAAAAAAATCGGGATAACATAACAGACAATAAAACAAAGTTATGATTCTCTCAGTGAATCTTTCAAGCCCGAGGCTTTTGCAACTCTATTAATATAAATTCCTGTAAAAAAAATTTACCTTAACAATCAGAGGCCAACTGATGCATTGAGTCACCTTTAAGCTGCTGCTGCATCCTCTTATACTTCGAAGCTGAACTTGCAGAGCAGAACAAAATTTGTTTGTAAAACACATTCACTTTATTGAATAATACTTGCAATGGTATTCAAAAGCCATTGATACCAGCTGAATTCTCTTTGCTTGTATTTCTCATGTTAATATCTTGGGAGGTTATCGCTTTACCTTGGTTAATCTGCAACTTGACAACAAGTTCTTCCTTTTTAGCCTTTTGGCATACCATGCAAGTAGTAATTTGAAAGTCAAAGGTAACTTCTCTTTAAGCCTTCAGTTTAATCAGCGACTATTGACAGACTCCAGGAAAACCATCAACACTGGGATACGAAACATTCATAATTTGTGCCTGTTTTGATAAGGTTGCTTTCCACCCCGTTTCAAAACATACATGCAACCAGCCACCATGAATAATCCAACTGCAGTAAAAACTATCATTGTTGAGTTCTCAATGGTCCGGTAATATCCTCTCTGCAACATGAAGAACCTAGCCAGTAAGTTCATCAGAAAAAAATAGTATCATATATCATACTCCAAAATTTTCCACAAGATTTATTGAGGGGATCCCCAAGCTTGTTTTCCTACCCTCAAGTGATCCAAACTAGGGGCAAGCATAGCCGCATAGGCCCCAGGGAAAACACAATGCCTAAGTCATTCTTAGCTAATTTAAGACAGCAGCAGATGAAAGCAGGCTGCAGAGGTGTATTTTGTTTCATACTTCCATTTCCCATCTGCATGCAGATGAACACGGATGCATAAATTACTCAGGGACACACCTGTATTATAAGAAACAGAACTGCTGCATTTGCAGGAGTCAGAGAAAGGCTTATCATACCTCCACGCAACTCATTTGACACATACCTACGTAAACATGATCAAAGCAGAGTATTGAAACTAATTTCTACAAATAGAAGGCACTAAGAAAGAAAAAGTTACTCCTAAAACTTGTTAAAAGTAAAACATTTGTCGTACATGGTCCTCAATCTTGCAAGTGAAGGCACAATTAGGCCAATGCAGGCATGGAATAAAGAAAAATGGGTCACCAGAACTCCAATGTACAAGAACACTGAGGCCATGGCTGGAATAAATACTAGGGTCCCTAATTTATAAATTCACAAATAATTACAGGGGCAGCACAAACATATCTGATAATCATAAGCTATAATTGACAAAAGAAGAGACTGTGTGACAAATGCATACATTAGGCAATCCTCAGTCCAAAACGAAGCATCAATAAGCCAGGGAAACACTGTGCTTCCTAACATCCTTGCCCCCAGCACGCATGGATATATCAAACCTAGATACACTTGTCGATCATCAGACTAACCCACATATAAAAATCACCTTCAAACATTATACTTCAAAGAATCAAGCTTCCAAGAAGATAATTTGGAAACCTAAAGGGAAGAAACACAAAAACTGAGTACTAATCATATGCTGTTGAAACAACAGATACAATCTTACCACCAGTGTTGGGGCCCAAAGAATCCAGAAAACTGTAATGGAGAAATGAAGGCGAGCTTGTGCACATGTTAGTAGCAATATCCTTCTATCTGCAGAAGACAAGCACTTAATGACGTTCTTTTTCTTTTTTGGTAAGAGATGAAAACTAAGAGTCAATGGTAGGGTTTTCAGCAAAACCCAATCATCAACAATGTAGCACTCATATTAGTCAAGACAGAAAAAAAATGAACTTAAAGGAGAGGGAGATTCAGGAAAAACTCTAATCTACCACAAATGATTACGAGAATTTGATGATGTGACGCGCATCTATACTTATATCTTTAAGTGTTCGGTTACAAATAGGCTGATATCGAAAAGATGCTAAAATTGTGATTTTTAGAAAGTTCTACCGCTATGTGTTTGATGGATAAGACAAGAGACTTAATGGAACTATAAAATGCTTACTGTAGACACCTGTTAATGTCCGGCCTAAAAAATATTATTAATGTTATTATTATTATTATTATTAATATTTATTTACATTTATTTTGTAGGCCCAACCTGTTTTAAGCCCCAGACCCAGATTACATCAGCAATCCAATTGGGACCCGATCCAATAGCTCAACCCGACCCAAAGGGGATCCGACTCGAGCCCATGTGACAACCTAGTAGTTGTAGGGTTTTCGAAACCCTATTTCATACCAAATTAGTCGCTGCCGACTCTTCAACTCCCCAGCCGCCGAGTGCTGTCTGTGTCGATCATAGCCCATCTCTCGAACAATGACCACCTACAGTGCAAAACATCAAACCCAAAAACAAAAATTATCTAAATCCCACCAAATCCGGAATAATGTCAGAAAACCACTCCCTTCTTGTTATAGGTTTCATCATCTCACAGAAAAAAAATCAACCAAACACATATTATAAAACAAGGAGAGAAAAGAAAGGGGGAAGAGGATATCAAGGGGGTAACCAGATTCGAAAAAGAACAAAAAAATAGAAAAACAAAAAACAAAGAGCGGAGAGCGGAGAGATTCGAAAGAAACAGAAAAAGAAAGAAAAAAGAGGAGAGGAGAATCTTACCGGGGGTTCAAAGTCAGCCGGGAACACCAAAGGTCACCGGAGTCATCTTTTCCCGAGAGGTATTATCTTAGATCTAGGGTTTTCTGGTTGGTTTTCGGGGAATGGAACTTTAGATTAGGGCTCAGAGTGAAAGGGGAGGCCATTCCATCCCCAATGAAAGATTTGAGAGAACTAATCTCTCATTCTCTCTCTTCTCTCGGTTTTAAAGCAAACAAAATGAGGAAATGGCCTGGTTTTTTTTTATATATATACTAATCGAAACGCCGTCGTATATGGGGAGGGTTCAACGTGTTTTAGGATAAGGGCTAATAGCAACATTAGTCCTCATATCTTTGTAATTTCGCACACGTGTTTTAGTGTTTGAGGGTAAATCACAGTTTGGTCCTTGCCCTTTGTAATATCATGCGTGCTTTTCATAGTTTTGGGGAAAATCATAGTTCAGGCCCCTTTCTTTGTAATTATTATGCTTTAGTCACTGAATGTAACTTTACATTATTTATATTTTGTACCTTAAATTTTATTTTGTTTGTATTTTTGTCATTGTATGCTTACTGTTAGATTTCAGTTAAATATCAGTTATGAATGGTTGATTTATGGATTATTTCATTTTAGTCCCCAGCTGTAAATTATCTGTAAGTGATTATATTTAGACTTTAAGTTTTGAATTTTAGTCTTATTTCCATTATGGTCACTATTTCAGTTTTTTTTTCAAAATTTTATGGAGTAATATCATGCATGCCCCTTGTTATTTGATGTTCGATCCAATGCAAACCCATTTAATTATTAGTTTATTCGTTAATTGTTGTTTATTTTTCTTTAAGTATTGCTCTTACGTACGTGTTTTTAATTTATTTATTTATAGAATAATTATATTGTTCCATAATTTATAATTTATGTCTTCTTTTTTAATGTCTTTGTAGTAATTTTTATGACTTCTACTTTTTATACGTTACTGTCATTGAAATTTATGAAGGCTTAGAACTAGGGTAACGGAGTAGTGTTGTCTTAGTTTAGGTGTTAACCCATTTGACTTTATTCTTTCCCGTAGCTTGTTATCGTTGACTTCTGTGTATCATTCTCTTCAGGTTACCTCTTTTTTAAAATTTAATCGGGTCTTACTTTTTTGTCTTTATGCAGAGATTTTTACGCAATGATTTATTTGCAGGGATTACTTCCTATTACAGACGCGCATATAAAGACTGCATATAAAGTCTGTTCAACTATGTATTTATTTATTTATTTATTTATACATGCATTGCATTTTATCTTTATTTTTAAGTTTCTAATTGCCGGAGGTCTCCCACGGAAGCTGCTCTCAACTTGACGTTAGGGGCAACCTACTACCCTACCTCCCCCTTAACTCATTACATATGAGAATATGATTTTGTTGTTGTTGTTTCTTGTATCTTATTCTAGTATACTTACTTGGTGTATCTCATTAGAAGTAAAATTTTTCATATACTATTTTCAAGAACAACGATTTGTAGAATGGGCGTGGAAAGCACTGCTTGATCGAAGTAGTGCGATCTGATATGACATTCGAACAAAATATGAACTTGAAGTAAATCAATTTTATTTTTGCTAATTAATTCAATTTTTTCGAACAATGCGATGCATGTATCTAAATAGCAATTTATTTTATTTTATGCAAACGCCAATTTCCATTTATATTTAATCGTGTTTTTTAAATCAATGAGGAGGGAATATTTTTTATTGATAAGAAATAGACGAGATTGTTTTTCCGACGGATGTTGCAAATTTCGAGGTTTCTTTTTTAGTTAAAGAATTTTCCTAACAATATAAATAATTCGAAGCAACTCAATAAATATATCATATTTTAACTTTATATTCGATTCATGATTACCACTATTACGACAACGTGTAAGCGATCAAGTACCGATTTTCAGGCGTTGTGGGGTGCTTATCCTTCCCCACACGTAACCGACTCCCAAACCAATTAAAATGGATCTTTGACAACGCAAACCAATTTTTGTCTTAAAAAATGATTTTTTCTTAAAATTATTTTAAAATACGTTTTTAGGTATTCGACCTACCTAGCTCAAAGGTCGATGGCGACTCATTTTCAATATAATTTCAAATAATCCAAAATCATCAATTTTTCTAAATAAAAGTCATAATCGTTTTTTAAAATAATATTAAATTATTTTTTCGAAAAATGGTTATGAAACTTACCACCAAGGATATGCACATAAAAGGACAGCCGATAATCCTTAAATGTCATTGTCTTTGGAGTTCCATAATGATCTCGACATACAGATGATACCCACAATGGTGAGTAATGAAGCTGCAATGGAAGGAGATCCGATCCCTTTCTCCAAATTTCCATTCACCATCCAATTACAAATCACCTGACTTCCAATCAAAGATGCTGACTCGAAAAAAATCATCAACCGAAATGTTTCAATCAAAATATCTTGCCTATGACCCATCTGCAAAGGATAAAAGAAAATTTTCCATGCCATCATGTTCAATATTCCTTTTTTTTTCATCTTAGCAACCAAAGAAACTTTGCAAGAAAGAACCAAATCTTAGAGTCAACCTTGTCATGTTCAACAACAGCCCATGTCTCGAAACTGAAGGTAAATATTGATGTTGCCAAAGAAAAACATACATTTGCTATCCAAAAGCTAGGACTTGATGCAATCATCTTCCATATCCCAACAATAAGGTGCAAGATAAAAAAACACCAAACAAATTTTCTTTCGAACTCTGCATAAATATAGATTAAAAAAAGCTATAAAATTTTTCACAATTTATACAACCCATAAGTAACCCATAAATAACAATGGTTAATTCATTCAACAAAGGCATTAAAGTGGTTCAATAAACATGGAAACGTTTTACTCACACTAAATCAAAGACAGGACCTAAGAAGCTGCCGACGAAAAGAGCAGCTCCAAATCCAATAAGCAAAAACATCACCGTATCTTCCTTGCTTATTCCATAGTAAACCAGCTCAAACTCTCCGTACACCGACCATAATCTTTCAAACGCTAGAAATACGAAGACAGAGAGATCAAATCAACTCTCCTTTTTTTGCTTAAAATTAAAACACACACAATTAAAAAAAATTGATTCTTTATGTTTACCTGAAGCGAAGGAATAGATAAGGAGAAAGTAAAGTTGGAAGCGAAAAGTAGGGGAGGAGGATGAGGAGGAGGAGGTTGGGTGGTCGGAGAAAGGAAGAGATTTGGTAGGGGCGTGTTTGGAGAGATAGAAAGGGAAGAGAGAAAGTGAGAGGAAACCAGAAATGATTTCACAATTTTTCATAATTTTTTAACAGTATAAGTTATTAAGATAATATTTATTTATAATTTTTCTTAATTTATGTAACGTATAAACACATTATATATATATATAAATAATTGTTTGAACTCGAATCTTCTAAAAAAATAACATTTTCCTTTATCACTTAGATCAAACATAATATTTATAGAGATAAAAATGGAGGAACATGAGAAAATTATAAGAAAACAACTCCATCAAGGAAAATGAATTCACATGTCCAAATTCAACCAAAAACCACGAAGCTGAAAGCTGTACAAATGCAATGGTTTTATTGTTCTTATCTTTCTCTTCGCCCTAAATGTGAATCAGGAATGATTGTTTATGTTATTTTACTGATAAATGGAGTTCTTTTGTTTATGAAGAAGACGATGAGTGGAATAAAAATTAGATGACCGGATTTTTTACCGGATTAAAAACCGATTTTTTTAAAAAAATCGGTTTTTTTCCAACTGAAACCGGTTACATCATTCGGCCCTCCAAACCGTTTATGATTCGAATCGATTTTTTATAAACCGGTTTTTGGCTTAGTGATAAAACCGGATCGGTTTTTATCCTATCCAGATCAATTTTTATCCGATCTGGATCGGATTTAAATCCGACTATGTGCATCTCTACCTAGGTCCATCATAAATAAGTCATTTCTACTTTGGGGAATACGATAACCTTTAAGTTGAGCTATTAAGCCATTTCTACCCTGGAAAATCCTGTAACCTTTGTGTTGTCTGTTGTGTGACATAATGGAGGAATTAAAGCATTAGATGTTTGGAGGCCTGAGGTCAAGTGGCGATATATGCTCTTCGGGTACCGTAATGAGCATCGATATTAGTACTTGATAGATAAGGAAAAATTTGATCAATTTTTAGAACTTTTGTATATTAAAAAATTGGTTGAAAGGTACAGAAACCTCACCTTTTAACTAGGCCTGTAAATTAACTTAACGTTCTGCGAACCGTTCATGAATCGTGCGATGGGAAGTTCGTTTATGTGCGTTTATTTATTAAATGAACGAACATGAACAAGATTTTGTATTCGTTTAATTAAATGAATGAACATGAACATAGGTCTCGTTCGTTCATTTACGTTCGTGAACGTTCGGTTATGTTCGTTCGGTTATTTCGTTCAGTTATGTTCGTGTTCATTTATGTTCGAGTTCATTTATGTTCGTGTTCGTTTATGTTCGTTTATTTATTAAATGAACGAACATGAACATACTCCCGTTTGTGTGCGTTCTGTTCGTTTACATGTCTATTTTAACTTGAACAAATTTTAGGCTATTTTTATCATGTAATGTAACATAGTGCTTTCGGACTTTTAAAAAAAATTCTTAAAAGTTCTAAGTAATTTTTAAAAATATCATAACCATTAAAAATTATGCTTTAAGCCTGAAATTATAATAATTATTAATAACTATTAAAGTTCCAAGTAATTTTTAAAACTATAACCTTTATTAATGTAATTTTTCTACCTTAAGCCTAAAAGAGTTGATACTTTCATACTTGTATGTATCTGTATATGTAGAATATATAAGTGTTTTGACATTCTGTCATTTGAACTTTTAATTTACAGTAATATCTGAAACTAACATTTTTAAATAATGATACCATGTTTCAAATACATGAAATTCTGAAATAAACTGAATATATTTATGTTGCACATATGTTCATGTTCATGGACAAATACTATGACGAAAATCAAAAGTTAGAAGCCAAAAAAAAAAATTTATGCTCTCAAACAAAATAGGCTACTTTATGTAACATGAAGTAGGATAATTTTCCCAGCTGAGTCCGGGCTCTGCAGATATACAAATAAACCCAAAGAGAATGGGTTATTGCGTACGCATCCTGCAACTCTCAGCTGCCCTCACTTGAGAAAAGTAGGGATGGGCCTACACATAACCAAAGAA